AAGGAAGGAAGGAAGGAAGGAAGGAAGGAAGGAAGGAAGGAAGGAAGCCATTAAGATGGCTCCACAGGTAAAAGCCCTTATTTCACAAGCCTGCCAAACCTAAGTTCCATCCCCAGAACTATTGGTGGAAGGAGAGAACTACCTCCCAAAAGTTGTTGCCTAACCTCCACATGTGTACCCACACTGACACACCACACACACACACACACACACACACACACACACACACACACATGAATTTATTTTAGAATTTATTTTAAAAACTTTAAAATTTTTAAAGTATTCATTTTATTTTTTCAAATGCTGGGCTTGGAAAGATGGCTCAGTGGTTCAGAGCACTGGCTGCTCTTGCAGAAGACCCAGGTTCAGTTCCTAACACCCACATGATGGCTAATTACCATTCATAACTCCTATTCCAAGGGATCCAATGCCCTCTTCCGGCCTCCACAGGCATTGCACACACATGGTGCATACATACACACAAAACATTCATACACATAAAAGAAAAAGAAAAAATGTAAAATGCATATGTACATATTCACATGCATTTACAAGTATATCCTGAAAGATTTATGTGAAAATATTAACCACAGAGGGATGGCAATGGAAAGCATGGAACTCTCACTTTGTTTCCTTTTCTTCCCTCTTTTTTTGACATTTCCCATGCTAGCCTCAAACTCCTTACGTAACCAAGGATGACTTTGAACTTTTTTTTTATATTTTATTTAGTATTTTTATTTTATGTGTATGAGTGTATTGCCTGCATGTATGTAAGTGCACCCGTGTTGTGCAATGCCTGTGGAGGACAGAAGAGGCCATCAAATTCCCTGGAAATGGAGTTACAGACAGTTGTTAGCTGCCATGTGGGTGCTGGGATTCAAACTCAGGTCTTCTGCAAGAACAACCAGTGTTTTTAACCACTGACCCATCTCTCCAGCCCCCAACTTTGAACTTCTTATTCTCCTGCCTCTACCTCCCAAGTGCTATGATTACAGACATTTACCACCACAGTGAGTTTACATGGTACTGAGGGGCCAAACCTAGGGCCTCAACATACTAGGCCAGCACTCTATCAATTGAGCAACCTCCCCCAAATCCTCACTCACCTTTTAATTGATTTGCTGTTGCTGATGTTAACTATGAGAATTTTTAACCACAATAATTTATCAAAAAATTCTCTTTACATTCAAAAACACAGGAATATATAAAAGTATTTTCCTCCAGAACTACATAAGGTTAACTGTAAACTCTTATTGAAAAATAAGCCATTGCCGGGTGTGGTGGCGCATAACTTTAATTCTAGCACTTGGGAGGCAGAGGCAGGCAGATCTCTGTGAGTTCCAGGCTAACGTGGTCTACATAGTGAGTTCCAGGCCAGCCAGGGATACATAGTGAGCCCTGTCTGGAAGGAAGGAAGACAAGGAGGGAGGGAGGAAGGAAGGAAGGAAGGAAGGAAAGGAAGGAAGGAAGGAAGGAAGGAAGGAAATAATAAGCCATGTCTATAGCTATACCACCCTGAACACACTGACTTCATCTGAAAACTAGGCCAGAAGAGCCAAGTAAACCCTAAACGGGAGCATCAGTGAGTAAAATTGTTATGGTTTCAACATAGTTGAATACACTATAAATCTCCAAAAGAATGAGAATTTTAGCACATAAAGGATCTGACATGGTACCTGTGTCATTTGTCAATGTACTGCCTCTAAGCTTCCAAAGCACACTTCCACATAGGTTCTCTGACCTAAGCCCAGCTCCATGTTCTAAGCTCACCAGAGGGCACTAGAGGGACACCGCGGGAGAAAAGCTTGCTGCAACTTCTGGCCCTGGCATAGGTGGGCAGTGTAATTATGAAAATCCAGGGTGGAGCTTGCCCCAGTCACAGGTCCAGAATAAAGTCCCTCTGCAGTCTTGTAGTCTTAGCATGGCAATGACCTTTTCCTTACTTCTCTGGACTGTGGCCCCAAGGCAGAGTCATTCATTGTGCAAGACCCATCACCCTGATGACTTGCATGTTTTGAAGGCTTTCTGCCCTTGAGAAAACTCTGGTTCCTACTTTGAATATATGCCCTGGTTGCTGACAGCCAACCACTGCTTGCATTTCAGAAGGGACCTGTTGCTTGCTCAGTAACCCCAGATCCACTAAACTAGCTGACGTCACTGCGAGCCAATGAACAAAACCGCACTTTCTCCAGTGAGTTCTAAATCACTTCCAAGCTTGTCCTTCCCTGGGTACTCTCCTTCAACCCTAAAGTGTCAAAGAGAATCGGCTTATATTTTATACTTAGCTATTATAGCTAGCATTCCTCTGTGTTAAACTTCTATATTATAGTTAGCATTCTTCTGTATTAAACTTCTATATTATAGTTAGTATTCCTCTGTATTAAATTGTTGAAGGTTCTGTCTCCTGATTTGACCCAGACCGCAACAAAACAAACTAGCTAAAACCTCAACGGTTTGGGAAATTAGTGTATAGTAAGAGGGTGTGCTTTCAATCACAGGAAAAGACCTTGGAAATGTGAACCTAGATCTTATGCCATACATCAGAATAAAACTCCAGAGACCAAAAAGGTAAGAGAGAGAGGTATAGCAACAGTAGGCAAAAGAGAGGGGTTGGGGAAAGGAGGGAAAGGGAGAGGGTACTGCACAGGCACTAGAAGCAAACACAGGTAAATCCTTTTCCACCAGAGTGTGGGGGAAATATTAACTATGGATGGAAATGCAGAAGCAATTTTATATTATACATATATATGCATTATAAATATAATATATATATTGCACTCAGGAGGCAGAGACAGATGGATCTCTCTGAGTTTGAGGCCAGCCTGGTCTACATAGTGAGTTTTGAGTCTTGTCTCCAGGCCAGCCAGGGCTACATAGTGAGTATCTATCTATCTATCTATCTATCTATCATCTATATCTATCTATGTCTATCTATCTATATCTATCTATCTATAGAGATAGAGATAGAGATAGAGATAGAGATAGAGATAGAGATAGAGATAGACACAGACACAGACACAGACACAGACACAGATACAGATACAGATACAGATACAGATACAGATACAGACATATAGGACTAGAGCGATGGCTCAGCAATTAGAAGCACTAGCTCTTCCAGAGAACCCAGATTTAGTTCCCAGGACCCACATGGTGACTAACAACCATCGTTGACCCCAGTTTCAGGGGATCTGACCCCCTCTTCTGGTCTTGCATGACAGATACACTTACATACATGCAGGCAAAAATACTCATAATAAACTTTAAAAATATATTATATACATATATGGATCTTTGCATAGCATAAAAAGGCCATAATCAAAGTGAAAAAAAAAACTAATGAAATACTGAAAAAAAATTCTCAACTTGGGTAGAGAGAGAGAGAGAAACTAAACCTCTGTCAATATTCTGCTTCTCTCAGAGGATGGTGGTACATGCCTGCAATCTCATCTCTCTTGGAGCTGATGTTACAGACATGCCCAGGAGCCTAGCTTGTTACATGGGTGCTGGGATTCAAACTCCTGTCTTCATGATTGCCCAGCAAGTGCTCTTAATCACCAAGTCATCTCTCCACTCCCACCTTCCTTTTGCTGAGACAGTTTCATGTAGCCCAAGCTGGCATTAGAATTTGCTATGTAGTTGAAGACGACCAAGAACGTCTGATCCTCCTTTCTCCATCTCCCTAGTGCTAAGATTACAGATGTACACAACCATGCCCAGTTTATATGGTGCTTGGGATCAAACCCAGGACTTTGGACATGTTAGGCAAGCACTCTATCAACTGAGCTACATCCCCAGGCCTGTTCTACCTTTCTTATATAGAGTATTGCTGAATGTGGCTGGGTACAGTGACACACACCTGTAACTTCAGTACTTAGGAAGCAGAGGCAAGAAGATTGCTACAAGTTTGAGGCCAGTCTGGTCTACATATTGAGTTCTAGGCCAGTTAGAGCTATATAATGAGAGCTTGTCTAGAAAAAATCCAGAATATTGTTGAATATAAACTTAAATAAGGACAAGCACAGTACTCAGAATCATCATGTCAAAATTAAATTAAATTCAAGAAATCGTAAACCAGGAAAAAGAGTGACTTTCAAATGAGTTTGACTTCAAGTTAATACTAAGTTAATAGAAAATGTAATTAAATATTTTTTAATTTTATCATTCCTTTCCTTTTCCTCTTCTGAGGACAATGTTTGCAGGCACTCAGAATGGTCCAGCATTTGACATACCATCATAGGCTTTCCTACAACACAGCCTCTAACAAAATTTGGCTGTCCCAAACCCCTGGTAACAGGATTATTTACCTTTATACCAAGTTTGGGAAATCACCAAAAACTGTGTGTGGTATAAGCCCAGGCAGACTTCAAGGGGTTTCTGCTGTGAGACCTAAAGTCCTCAAGAGATTGTCCGAAACAAAAAAACATGTCAGCAGGGCCTATGGTGGTTCTATGTGTGCTAAATGTGTTCGTGACAGGATCAAGCGTGATTTCCTTATTGAGGAGCAGAAAATCGTTGTGAAAGTGTTGAAGGCACAAGCACAGAGTCAGAAAGCGAAATAACCATGAGACTTTTTTAAGTAATAAAAACCACAGCTTGTTCTAAAAAAAAAAAATCATTATGATCAAACAAGGTTTTACTGAATATCATTGTTTTCTTAACTTTACATCTCCAAAAGGAATGTAGTTAGTATTTTAGTATCCAAAGTTCAACGCAGTCAACATAGCAGCTATCAAAAATAATCTTCACTATATTTTCTTTTCATTAGGCCTCTTAAAAAACATAAAATGATTGGGCTAAGGAGATAGCTTAGTCAGTAAAGTGTTTGCCACATAAGCATGAACACCCATGTTCAATCCTCAGAACCCATACAAAGCCAATATGGTGGCCCATGCTTATAATCTCAATGCTGAGGAGACAGGAACTTAAGGATCCGTTGGACTCACTGGCCAGCAAGCCTAGTCTAACCAGCAAGTACCCTGCCACAAAAAAAGCCAGGCGCACACCTTTAATCCTAGCACTTGGGAGGCAGAGGCAGGCAGAGCTCTGTGAGTTCAAGGCCAGCCTGGTCTACACAGCATGTTCTAGGCCAGACAGTGCTAAATCATAAGACCCTGTCTCAACAACCCCCCCCCAAAAAAAAACAGAAAATCAAGATGGTAGCAGGTGAGATGGCTCAGTGGAAAAAAGACCTTGCAGCCCAAGTCTAACGACCTGAGTTTAATCATCAGAATCCACAGTGGGATCAGAGAAAAGCTGTCTTTGGCATGCATGCACCCCACTCACACGGGCATCTCACACACACACACACACACACACACACACACACTGAGGAGGAGGAGGAGGAAGAGGAGGAGGAGGGAGGGGGAGAAGTTGCTAAATTGGGCAGAGATGATGGTTCAGTGGTTAAAACACTTGCTGTTCTTTCAGAAGACACAACTTCAGTTCCCAGCACTGACACCAGGTAGCTCACAACTGCCTGTAACTCCAGCTCCAAGGGATCTGACACTGTCTGAACTCCATGAGTACCACTTGCATGTGCACATGCATGCACACAGACACACATAGACATAATAAATCTTTAAAAAATAACTTAAATTTTAAAAATATTTTATTATTTTTTTATTTTATGTGTATGAGTGTATTGCCTACATGCATGTAAGTGCATCCATGTCATGCAATGCCCACAGAGGTGAGAAGACAGCATTGATCCCCTGGAACTGGAGTTACACACAGTTGTTAGCTGTCATGTGGGTGCTGAGAATCAAAGCCAGGTTTCTGAAAGAGTAGCCAGTGCTCTAAACCACTGAGACATCTCTCTAACCCCTCCAGTCCAATTTTTAAACTTTACAAGTCAGTGATTAATTAATGAATCAAAGTAAATTTATTTATTTATTTTTTTTTATACATATGAGTGTTTTGCCTGCACATGTACACCTGTGTTGTGCAATGTCCATGGAGGCCAGAAGAGGGTGTTGGATCCCCTGGAGCTGGAGTTGCAGGAGTTACAACAGTTGTTAGCTACCATGTGGGTGCTGGAAATCAAACCCAGGTCTTCTGCAAGAGCAGCCAGTGCTCTTAACTGCTGAGCTATTTCTCTAGCCCCCAAATTAAATTTTTTAAAAGATGGATGCTGTCAATGGCACTTGAAGCTGTCTTCTAGCCTATACATGCATATACACACATACACATGTGCACACATACATGTACACATACATGTGCATGCACACATACACGCAAAAATAAAGTACCATCACATGGAAATTCATGAAACTTGAATGACATTTCCCATTATTCAGCTGGAAAGTGAACAGCATTTTGGAAAGGCATATGGTCTCCTTCAGAACAAAGAATCAACCCCATCATCCCTTTCTACCTACAACTGAAAAGTTCATCCTCAGGCCAGCAGCTGAGATGACCTGTCAGGTACACACCACTGAATGGCAAGTGCCAAGATACGTCTAGATAATCAATCAGGTGCCACAATGATGCCGTCTAGGAAACACAGATCTCATATATTTGCATATCACCAATCAACTTCTCTAGACTTTCTACACATTCCCAGTACAATAGTTATTGTTAGAGAACCAACTTCTGAATAGTCATTAGAATTGGGGTTACTTTTTGGTTGAATACCTTGTGATTCTCATCACACTGACAAATCTATCAGTAACATCTTGGATAATTAGTAATATGCTATCCAATGAAAGGAGTTTTCCTTCCTAAATCACAACCTGAGTTGATTAAATTAAACCATTGTAGCAGACAAAACAGCTAGCAAAAGGGAGTTCTTCTCCAGAGTCCTATAAAACTGAATGAACACACACACTCTGGATATTTGATTAGCCATACTCTAAAACTTAATCTAAGTGGCTGGTGAGAAAAATCACCAAAACATAGCATTTCTTCACCACTGTAGGACAGGATATTCCCAACATGTTATTTAAAAGCCTAAGCATGGCCTCAGTCACCACAATGTCTGATACCGTAGGAGAAAAAGTCTGTAACAAGTTGAATCGTGGCATGGGACTTCACTGTCACTGTGAGAACATCAACCTGGGCATCCCGATTCTAAGATTTACTTTTGTATGTCAGTTTTCCTTAGTTAATCTCTATAATCTGAAACAGTTGCTTCATAGCCTTTGTGGTAAACAGTCCATTTTCCATACAGAGACCTTGCTCACACTTCTGCAGAACACACATTTGGCCCTCTCATGTCATGTGAAGGTCATGTCTGTGTTCCAAGGAAAAGCTTTTGTACACACGGGATTATCCATGATATACTAAGGTACGGCCTGAGAAACACATTTTGGCTCTTAAACTAAAGAATAAATAAGTTTTTAAAATCCCAAATATTGACAGTGATTCTTTGGAAAAGAAAAAAAAATGGCCCTGGAAATAACAACGCAAACTAAAAAGAGTAGACTGACCTATAAATCTAGCTAAAGAAAGAACAGGAAGTCCCAGTCAGCCTACATTCATGTGTATTCTGGCCTAGTGGACAGAACACTGGGTCCTAGTCTCTGCTCTGTCTGAAAACCAAATAGTCTTAAACAAATCACATAAACTCCTTGAGCTTCCACATTGTCCTCAGTAGAAATGAGCACAAAGGGATACACCTTTTCATAGTGCTCTGAGGAGGAAAGGAAATGACATGTGAAAGCATTCTGTCAGGTATTATTACATGGCCAAGAGTGTAAAGCCAGTCCACTGGCACGCCACTGGGCACACCTCTAGTGTTGGTCAGGATTTCCAGACAATTTACGATAAAATCATTTATGGCCACTGTGAAGATTTTTGCTTCCCAATTTTACTTCCTTAAGCTGTGTTTGACAGAAATCCATCACTATCTGTTCCGACAGATGCGCTGCTTGGAAGCCTGTCAGCTTAATGTGTGTGAACAAAATGCCACGTCCTCGGGATGCCATATTCTGGGCCTGCAGATGTGGATGACTTTGATGGCTCATCTCTGTTCTTCCTCTATCTGTCCACCATACTTCCCTATGCATCCCAGTCAAACACTCCACACTTGCATGCCCCACATCATAAATTTACACACAAACATCAGAACTTCATAAACAAGAAATCTCAATCTCTCTCTCTCTCTCTTTCTCTCTCTCTCTCTCTCTCTCCCGCCCTCTTTTTTCCAGGGTCTCATGTACCAGACTGGCCTCAAACTTGCTATGTACCTGAGGTTGACTTTGAACTTCCTGCCCTTCCTGCCTTCACCTCCTGAGTACTGGGATTACTGGCATACTCCACCGTACCTGATTCCTATAGTGTTGGTGATGGAGACCCTGGCTTTGTGCGTGCTAGGTAATCACTCTACCACCTGAGCTACATTCCCAGCCCTTTATGTGTGTTTCTTAAGTATCAAGCATTCTTACTTAATGCCTGTTTAGCGATAAGTACCTTTACTTGTATCAGAACAAAGAAAAAGTACTCCAAAATAACCACAAACTGATTGCTAATAATTGACTTACATGGAACTCTTTAAAACTGTACCTATATCTTCCAAAATGAGAAAGAGCTAATCTCTCTGTGTCAAAATTCATAGTGGTAAAGCTAAAGAGGCCTAAATTTAATTGTATATAAGTAATGAACAAGTATGATTTTAAATGTCTATAACAATGTACTAAACACTAAATTATGAAGTCCAATATTCAAATAACTCACTTGCCAAGGGCTCCACATATAAACAAAAACTTACCAATAAATGAGGTAAGCTTATCCATTTTTTATATATTCTATAAAATGACTTGAAACATTAAAATTTTTATAAAATATCTTTTACATCATCGTCTGCTGGATACACATATATAGAGAATTACACTGTTTTATTCTTTAAAAGGGACATAATGTCTACTAAATGCTAATTATATATATTTATGGGTTGAATTGACTACTCAGTTTAACTTTATATTAAAAATGAACTTTGAGAAATATAAAGGCTAATTGACTCGTGTAGGTCTCCCAGAACCACTTGAAATGAGTTCTAAAGTGATTCGTTGATTCCAAAGATTTATGTATCTTGAGTAAGACCTAAAGTGCTATAAAAAAAACTACTTTGAAATATTTCAGTTTCATCTAAAAAAAAATCATTGAACATAAAATGGAATCCTAAAGTTTCTGTTGAAACATTTACTAATGAACAAATCCTTACATTTTACTTCCTGTAGAATACTTGTAGAAACACAGATTTTTCTCTGAAAAAGTAAAAGTGAGTCAAAGGATCTTCAATATCCTCTTCATGGTCATGGTATGGCCACTTTCAACAAAATTCACAGTACGAACATTTCCTTTTACTTTTTAAATAGCCAGGAAATATCTACTGTGAGCCTAGAAAATCATATAGCAAAATTGAAATATTCTAATAGAATGTTCACATAAACATTCAAAATACAAGACAAAAATCTTTCCTCCAAAGTGCTGTGTACCACACCTAAGCACAAACAGGCTTTTTAAAACCCAAGTATAACTGTCAAAATTACTTTCTGAATAGATCTCCACTCAGATTCAAAATTTTGCTTTTCATAAAAAACAAAGATTTGACCTAGTTTTATTCTTCCTCCATGAAACAGTCACCACAGGTAACACAGGGTCTGAAGAAGCAACAGTTAGATTCCTCATCAGCAAATAAGAAAGATCAGATTTAATCTAACTCAGCCCACCCAGGAAAGAAGTTAACCTTACCACTGTGGAATGCCAGTCAATACATTTTAAGTACTGAACACCTGCTTGAGGCAGGTCTGTCTTCCCTGGGCCACAAAACTCAAGCCTGAATCAAGCATCATGTTTCATCCACTGCCAGGAATCCACAGAGGTAAACCACAGAAATCTTCTTTTTAAAAAGATATTTATATTAGCACAAACAACCCAAAAATCACAAGCACAAAAAGAGTGAGTTAAGCTGTGGGGTATCTTAAATGAAGACGTTGGATCTAAGTATGAAATTTCTGTTTCCAGTAGCATTCAAGACAGTTGCATTTACCCCTTTTTATTGTTCTTGATATTACAGGACATCACACAGAAAGTCAATTAAATGACTTTGAGCAAAGGGCACTTACCTGACTGGTTAACACACCGGCTTTGCATTCTCCAAATGCAGACACGTGCTTTCCTTGGTACTCCTCGGTGGCCACGGAGCCTCAATCGCAGACCCGAGTGCCAAGGGTCTGCCAAGGGATGCCAACCGCAGCACAAGATGGTCCCTCCAGGCTCCGACAGCCTCCACCAAGCCCAGGAAGTTTCAAGAGGTATTTCTAGACGCTTGGGAGGAGGCTGGGACTGGGGAGTGGGAGTCAAAAGGGCCTGCAGCTGAACAAGCTTGCAACGATCACCCACGACTTAATGATGCTCGCGCTTCTTCCTTTTAAAGACCAGGAAAGGGGGTGGGGGGGGACGAGTTAGCTGAGGCGCTCACGTGACTACGAACCGGGAGCGGGAGATCACCAATGTGCGCAACACCTCCAGATCCACCAAGGAGCTAGCCCGAGTCTGGATTCATCTTCCTGCCACTCAGTTACCCACAAGGATTGGGAAGCACAGACTCTGACCTAGGAGGGTCCAGGTGGGACCTAGAAACCTGCATTTCTAACCAGGTCCCCAGGGATGCTGCGGGTCGGGGGGACCACACTTTATCCTGACTCACATGGGTGTTACTAAATCACAAGTCTGACAAAGATCCCTAAGAATCTAGTGGATTCAAAGATGGGGGTACCTCCGCGGTAGAGCGCCGGCTTGGCACGCGCCAGGTGCCCGGTTAGGTTCCCAGCACCCCACTAAGTAGTAATGACGGAGCCAGATTCCTTGCAGCGAGCCTAACCTTGAGTCCCTGGTAAGGCAAAGCCATGGGCTGGAGGTGGGGGTCGGGGTTCTCGTCTATCGGAAGCTGGCCAGAAAAAGCACTGGGCTCGGTCCAAAATGCCTGATGCCTCCTCGAATTCACCAGGAGAAAATCCGCCTGCGCCTTTGCGGCGCTGCTCTAGCTGTGGCGCTTCATCCATCTCTCGGCTGGCGAGAGCCTCTGGCGTACCCTGGTGGCAGCCCCTAGTCTCCCAGTTCCACCGTGTCCACTCTCCTCACCCACCTCCAAGTGGCCCTAAGATGCAAACACTGTGACCATATCTTAGTCATTGACAAGCATCTGGCTTTTAAGGCAGCCGTTGATGGCAAAAGTTAAAAGGAAAGCAGGTGCCCCATAAGCCATTCTGCTGTCACATCTGTACTTAAGTCATTAAACCAGCCATCAAACATGGCCTTGGAGACATGGTTCTTTTAAAAAAATATTTTTATTTTATTTTTAAATGATACGTATATG